GACAAGCACCTAAAGTCAGTTCCTGATCAGCCGGGCTGTGGCTCGTACGTTGGTTTGCGTGCAGCCAGCAGCAACAGCCTGGTTGATCAGGCGCTGATCCACCAGGAGGCCTGGTCACAGACCGGGCCGCGGGGGCGTTGACCCCCGAAACTCTCTCCAGGTAAACTCCAGGTAAACTCCTCCTTCGAACCAGTTTCCTCAGGTCTGGCCTCTTGCTGTTGAAGTTGATCTATCAGCTCATCAGTGGTTAGTTCTTCATTGTCCTCCTCCACCAACTCTTCCACATCATCCCCACTAGCCTCCAACCCCAAGGACTTTCACAATGCCATAATGGATTCCTCAACTGGCATAGGATTCTCAGGGTTAGCCTAAAACCCTTCAAAATCCCTTTGGTCTACACATTCTGGCCACAGTTTCTTCCAAGCAGAGTTCAAGGTCCTCTTAGTCACTCCCTCCCAAGCCTTACCTATAAGGTTTACACAATTGAGGATATTAAAGTGATCTCTCCAAAAGTCTCTTAGAGTCAGTTGAGTTTCTGAGGTCACTACAAAGCACCTTTCAAACAGAGCTTTTATGTACAGTTTTTTGAAGTTTGCAATAACCTGGTGGTCCATGGGCTGCAGGAGAGGAGTGGTATTAGGAGGCAAAAACTTCACCTTAATGAATTTCATGTCCCCATAAAGTCGCTCTGCCACGTCTGTAGGATGACCAGGGGCATTGTCTAACACCAGGAGGCACTTAAGTTTTAATTTCTTTTCAGTTAGGTAATCTTTCACATTGGGGGCAAATACATGGTGTAACCAGTCATAGAAAAAGTCCCTAGTGACCCATGCCTTATTGTTTGCCCTCCACAGCACACACAAATTTTCCTTGAGGACATTCTTTTGCCTGAACGGTCTGGGAGTTTCAGAGTGATACACTAATAAAGGCTTCACTTTGCAATCACCAGTAGCATTGGAACACATCAACAAAGTAAGCCTGTCTTTCATAGGCTTATGTCCTGGGAGTGCCTTTTCCTCCTGAGTAATGTAGGTCCTGCTTGGCATTTTCTTCCAAAACAGGCCTGTTTCATCACAATTAAACACTTGTTCAGGTTTCAGTCCTTCAGTTTCTATGTACTCCTTGAATTCCTGCACATATTTTTCAGCTGCTTTGTGGTCCGAACTGGCAGCCTCACCATGCCTTATCACACTATGTATGCCACTACGCCTCTTAAATCTCTCAAACCAACCTTTGCTGGCCTTAAATTCACTCACATCATCACTAGTTGCAGGCATTTTTTTAATTAAATCCTCATGCAACTTCCTAGCCTTTTCACTTATGATCACTTGAGAGATGCTATCTCCTGCTATCTGTTTCTCATTTATCCACACCAATAAGAGTCTCTCAACATCTTCCATCACTTGCGATCTCTGTTTCGAAAACACAGTTAAACCTTTGGCAAGAACAGCTTCTTTGATTGCCTTTTTGTTGCCCACAATAGTAGCGATGGTTGATTGGGGTTTACTATACAACCTGGCCAGCTCGGAGACACGCACTCCACTTTCATACTTATCAATGATCTCTTTCTTCATCTCTGTAGTAATTCTCACCCTTATTGCTGTAGGGTTGGCACTAGAAGCTTTCTAGGGGCCCATGGTCACTTATTTTGCAGATAAAATCACCAGAAACACTGTAATAATACGAAATGTTCCGATTGTATGCTTGGATGTTACCGCGGAGGCTGGCTGGTAAACAATGCCACCGGCGGAACATGTGAGACTGGCTAAGGGTGCACATTAGACGCGTCTCGGACGAACAGCGTTGAGCGGGTTTTTTAGCGGTATGCGAGGCAAAATCTTGGCGATAAAATGTAGCGGTATGCGGATTTAACGTTATGTGATGCCAACGGTATGCGGGGGTCCACTGTACTAGTACGTCAGTAACCCTGGCGTGTAAGACGTACTAGTGCATCGGAAACCCTGAAAAGGTTAATAAGCTAAGTATAGATAAATTAATTGTAAAACATAAATATAGGAGGAGGGGTAGGGGTCATCCTAGGAAAGAATGGAGGGAGGGAGTAAAAGAGGGTTTGTGTGCAAGGGGCTTGGACATGCAGCAGGCATGTGTGAGCATGTTAGACAGGATTGAATGGAGAAAAATGGTTTTCGGGACTTGATGAGCTGTTGGAGCATGCGCAGGGTAATATTTTGTGAAGGGATTCAGGGAAACCAGTTAGCTGGACTTGAGTCCTGGAAGTGAGAAGTACAATGCCTGCACTTGAACCCTTTGACTGTTTCGGTCATATTTGTACATCTTACGAGCCACCATTTTTGACTTATATACAGTGGACCCCCGCATAACGATCACCTCCGAATGCGACCAATTATGTAAGTGTATTTATGTAAGTGCGTTTGTACGTGTATGTTTGGGGGTCTGAAATGGACTAATCTACTTCACAATATTCCTTATGGGAACCAATTCGGTCAGTACTGGCACCTGAACATACTTCTGGAGTGAAAAAATATCGTTAACCGGGGGTCCACTGTATACTCTAGTGGCTTCAAATCAAGCAGGAGAAAGCTGGTAGGCTCACATGTGAGAGAATGGGTCTGTGTGGTCAGTATGCACCATATAAAAAATCCTGTAGCACGCAGTACATAATGAGAAAAAAAAAATGTTTTTTTTTTTTTTATTAAAAGGCCGACTTTGTGGTCTGTTTTGGTATAGTATTTATGGTTGTATTTCGTTTTCTTGGTCTCATTTGATAGAATGGAAAACATGTTACAGAAATAGATTTACTATGAAACGAACCTTGAAATGGAGCTCAAAGTAGGGGAAATGTTTGATTTTTGCCGATGTTCAAAAGTAAACAAATGATGTCATTTTCCAATAAATGTCCGAGTAGCCATTCTTATATGCAGCCATGAATGGGTTGACATTATTTGTACAATTATTACAATATTGCAGTAGTCTACATAACAGTAAATCTTTTATTTTTTGTTTGAATAAAAATTCAGAATAGAAAGCAAGAGTAATATCAGAGGGGCCTGGAGATGTGACTGATGAACATAGAAAATGTTACTTTAGAGCCAGGAATGTCTGCATTGTTCATTCTGGACCTTATTTTGAAATTGTCATATTTTTTAATTTTCGTGAAATTGGCCAAACTGCAAATTTCTGACCACGTTATTGGGTAGTTGAAATAGGTAAATGGGCAGCTTCTTTTACTTAATCGATTGAAAAAATGGAGTTCTAAAGAAATAGCTATGAGTTTGGTCGACTGGAACAGTGGAATTAGCCGAAAATGGGGCTCAAAGTGGGCGAAATCGCCGATTCGTAAATATAGTCGAGGTTGCTAACTTCACGAGAGCATAATTCTGTCAGTTTCCCATCAAATTTCATTCTTTTGGTGTCGTTACAATCGGGAAAAGATTCTCTATCATTTCATAAGAAAAAATAATTTTTTTCTTTTTTTTTGGAAATTTTGCGACACCAGGAGATACCTCAGGATTTTGGGTTGCGACAGTCAAGGGGTTAAAGGAGGGGTTTGGAATATTGGGTGTTTGGAATGACATCTAACCTGTATTAATATTGGCAGAATTACCAACAGTGTGTTAAGTAAAAGGACACAAATGCAACTAATGTGAAATCAACGACTGCAAGGAAAGAGCTCTTCAGATCATTAATTCTCCACACTCCAACACCACTCCTAACAAAGTTATAATTCTTCCCAACAGCCAGGTTGCACTGAACATTTCTAAAGTACTAGCACAAGCTAACACTTAAGAGTTACCATCGCTTCCAGGACTTCAGTAAAGGAACTAACCAGGACAAAATCCAAGCACCATGAATCAGTCAGTGCGGGGGTTTACACTATACCCTGTGGAGGCTGTAACAGGATTTACTTAGGTGAAACAGCAAGAAACCTCGAAACACGCCTCAATGAGCACATTAATGCATGTAGGAACGATAACTTGAACAATGCCTGCGTACAACACCAAAATTCCACTAATCATCTCATAAAATTCAGGGACACCCGATTAGTGATCAAAGAAATTAATTTCCGCAGATGCAAGTGCCTTGAATCAGCATTAATCGCTGTTTCTAACACAGTTAAACAAAACAAAGGCAGCTTCATCATCTCTGAAGTCTTAGCGAGAATCCTCCTGAAAACAGTAAACCTTGCCATCACATAGTCTCTCTTGCTAATACTACACAAGCACGTTACAGAGGAGGAACACTGAAACAGGCTTTCTCTAATCCAACCTCCAACAGAAATATTTGTCTAACCTATTTTTATGCTACCCAAGTTATAGCTTTTATAACCTTTTATTCATGTACAAGTTGATTATTCTACCATATTGTATTACTACTATTACTACTATTACTACAACTAATATTATTATTACTACTACTACCACTAGTATTACACCTCACTCGAAACTTTTATATACCCTGTGTCCATGTATTGTTTGCAACGGCTTGATAAAGTTCCTGGAGAGCGAAATGTTGCCACAATAAAATGTCACATTAGTCGTGACATTTTACTTGACATCTAACCTGTTGTATCTGAGCTCCTCTTTAAAGACAGTGATTGTGTGTGAATGATGGTGAAAATGTTTCTTTTTTGGGTCATCCTGCCTCGGCAGGAGATGGCCAATGTGTTAAAAAATAATGTAGATATGGAAACTCCAAGAAAGAGTAGACTGAGGTTGTTTTGCCTTGAAAGCTTTTTTGGTATCAGCAAAATATAGCCTTGAATAGAATACTGCATCTCATAATTTTTTAATACAACAAATATAGTTGAGTTATGTTTTTCTTAAAATTTTTGTTTACATTCATGGAATTTGATAAAAAAAAATCTTAGACTTTAAATGACATGAGGGGTTTTTTGTGATTACAGTGCACTTAAGCTTTTTTTTATTGTTAAATCTCATATACAACTTCTTATATTGACAGTGATATGAATAAAGATTCATAATTTCTTCATTTGTTAATCTTGACATTTTCATCTACAGTTGCTCCTATGCGGGGACGTTCATTCAATCGAGGGATGAATATGAGGAGTGATCCATTTCGTTCTCGCCCTCCCAACACCTCTCGGCCCCCATCGCTCCATGTGGATGATTTTGTTGCTCTGGAAAGCACTGGCCATCAGCCCACTGGACCCACAGGATACAATAAGATATCCTTTGGTCGGGGCAAGGTACATGTAAGGTTTTATTGGACTTCTGTATTTTTATATGGTACATTGCATTCTGATATTTGATGTACTATATAATGAATATTTTAGAATTATACATTGCTTTATAGTGATATGGAGAAATACAGTACAGTTGAATGTTTCCAGTCTGGCAACCATGGGGCTGAAAAAATGCTGGACTAGTGTTTCCAGGTTATGTATGTGATATAACCAAAAGAATGTGATCATATTCTAAACAGTTCATAAATTTTTATTTAACCCTTAAACGGTCCAAACGTATATATACGTTCACTCGCGTAGCGCCCCAAATTTTTTGAGGAAAAAAGAAATCTTTTCTTTTAAAAGGAAAAAAGAGCATATGGTACCCAGGCATCCCCAATTATTTTAATATGGAACACAGTGAGTGCACACACCCATTCTCTCATGTCTAGGTGACTCAGGCTTATTGTGGCAATGTTGAATGAATGACAAAGAAAACGTATATATACGTTTGGACCGTTTAAGGGTTAAACACAACTCAGTACAGTGGACCCCAAGTTTCGTGATTAATCCGTTCCAGAAAGTCTGCCAAAAGTCGAAATTCACGAATGTCAAAACCATTTTCCCCATAAGAAATAATGTAAATCTAATTAATCCATTCCAACCCACTAACAGAATAAAAGCTACCCAAGCAATAAGCTTTGACAGTTCTATTTACTCATGTGCAAGTCCCACTCAAATTCAACCCATCTCACTCATGTATTTATCCAATATAAATTTGAAACTACCCAAGGTTTTAGCTGCCTAGTAGGGTTATCAAAGCTAAAACCTTGGGAAGTTTCAAATTTAGGTTGGATAAATACATGAGTGAGGGGGTTGAATTTGAGTGGGACTTGCACATGAGCAAATAGAATTATCAAAGCTTACTGCTTGGGTAGCTTTTATTCTGTTAGTGGGTTGAATTTGCGAAGGACCTGCCTAGTATGGGCCAACAGGCCTATTGCAGTGTTCCTCCTTTCTAATGTTCTTGTGTTCCAAACACCCAAGTATTAACAAAAATTATTTTTTATAGATTAAATATAGATGTTATTATTGTTTACAATAATATCACACTTACCTTTATTGAAGTCTCATGTAGAAGAATGGTTCAGAGAACCAACAATGGAAATAAATGGTATAAAATACCGACACAATGGAAATATAAACACATATGCAGTATAATGTGATCCTTTATTGACAACGTTTCGCCCGCACAGTGGGCTTTTTCAAGTCACAAACAGATCTACCTGGGGTGGAAGGTATGCGAGTATTTATAGTCAGACCTCAGCATTCTGAACCTGACTATAAATACTCTTGTACCTTCCACCCCAGGTAGATCTGTTTGTGACTTGAGAAAGCCCACTGTGTGGGCGAAACGTTTTCAATAAAGGATCACATTATGCTGCATATGCGTTTATATTTCCAGAACCAACAAGTTGAGGAAACATTGTGCCATGCAGTGGCTTCATCAATCCATGCAAAGGGATTGGCAGAGAGCATGTGTAGTTCCTTTATATAAAGGGAAGGGGGACAAAAGAAATTTTAAAAATTATAGGGGAATAAGTTTACTGAGCATACCAGGAAAAGTGTACGGTAAAGTTATTATTAAAAGAATAAGACAGAGAGTAGGATTGCGGATGAGTAAGGAGGCTTTAGAGTGGGTAGGGGATGTGTAGATCAAGTGTTTACATTGAAGCATATATATGAACAGTATTTAGATAAAGGTAGGGAAGTTTTCATTGCATTTATGGATTTAGAAAAGGCATATGATAGAGTGGATAGGGGAGTAATGTGGAGGATGTTGCAAGTATATGGAGTAGATAGTAAATTACTAAATGCTGTAAAGAGTTTTTATGAGGATAGCGAGGCTCAGGTTAGGGTGTGTAGGAGAGGGAGATTGCTTCCTGATAAAAGTAGGTTTTAGACAATGGTGTGTAATGTCACCATAGTTGTTTAATATATATATTGATGGGATTGTAAAAGAAGTAAATGCTAGGGTGTTGGAGAGAGGGGTGGGATTAAATTATGGGGAATCAAATACAAAATGGGAGTTGACACAGTTACTTTTTGCTGATGATACTGTGCTTATGAGAGATTCTGAAGAAAAGTTGCAAATGTTAGTGGACGAGTTTGGGAAGGTGTGTAAAGGTAGAAGGTTGAAAGTGAACATATATAAGAGTAATGTGATGAGGGTATCAAATGATTTAGATAAAGAAAAATTGGATATCACATTGGAGATCACATTAGAGGGAGGGAGTATGGAAGAAGTGAATGTTTTCAGATACGTATTTGGGAGTTGACTTGTCAGCGGATGGGTTTATGAAGGATGAGATTAACCGTAGAATTGATGAAGGAAAAAAGGTGAGTGGTGAGGTATCTGTGGAGACAGAAAAACGTTATCCATTTAGGCAAAGAAGGGCATATACGAAAGTATAGTGGTACCAGCACTCTATATGGGTGTGAAGCTTGGGTTGCAAATGCTGCAGCGAGAAGGTGGCTGGAGGCAGTGGAGATGTCCTGTTTAAGGGCAATGTGTGGTGTAAATATTATGCAGAGAATTTGGAGTGTGGAGTTAATAAAAGTATTAGCCAGAGGGCTGAAGAGGGGTTGTTGAGTTGGTTTGATCATGTAGAGAAAATGGCTCAAAGTAGAATGACTTGGAGAGCATATAAATCTGTAGGGGAAGGAAGGCAGGGTAGGGGTTGCCCTCGAAAAGGTTGGAGGGAGGGGGTAAAGTAAGCTTTGTGGGTGAGGGGCTTGGACTTCCAGCAAGCGTGCATGAACGTGTTAGATAGGAGTGAATGGAGATGAATGGTTTTTGGGACTTGATGAGCTGTTGGAGTGTAAGCAGGGTAATATTTAGTGAAGGGATTCAGGGAAACCTGTTATTTTTATATAGCCAGACGTGAGTTCTGGAAATGGGAAGTACAATGCCTGCACTTTAAAGGAGGGGGTTAGGGATATTGGCAGTTTGGAGGGATGTGTAATAAGGATGGTATATATATAATTGGGGCCCCTGATATTATTTTCTATAGGGAGTGTATTATATTATTTCAGGTCACTTTTTATATTGTATCTTTATATATGCTTCTAAACTGTTGTATCTGGGCACCTCTGTAAAAACAGTGATTATGTGTGAGTGAGGTGAAAGTGTTGAATGATGATGAAAGTATTTTCGTTTTGGGGATTTTCTTTCTTTTTGGGTCACCCTGCCTAGGTAGGAGACGGCCGACTTGTTGAAAAAAAAAAAAAGAATCTGTAGGGGAAGGAAGACGGTAGGGGTCGTCCTCGAAAAGGTTGGAGGGAGGGGGTAAAGGAGGTTTTATGGGTGAGGGGCTTGGACTTCCAGGAAGCATATGTGAGCATGTTAGATAGGAGTGAATGGAGATGAATGGTTTTTGGGACCTGATGAGCTGTTGAAGTGTGAGCAGGGTAATACTTTTGTGGAGGGATTCAGGGAAACTGGTTATTTTTATATAGCCGGACTTGAGTTCTGGAAATGGGGAGTACAAGGCCTGCTCTTTAAAGTAGGGGTTTGGGATATTGTCAGTTTGGAGGGATATGTTATATATCTTTATATATGCTTCTGAACTGTTGTATCTGGGTGCCTCTGCAAAGACAGTGATTATGTGTGAGTGAGGTGAAAGTGTTGAATGATTATGAAAGTATTTTCTTTTTGGGGATTTTCTTTCTTTTTTTGTCACCCTGCCTTGGTGGGAGACGGCCAACTTGTTGAAAAAAAAAAAAATTCTGTTCACTCATGCACAAGTCCCACTCAAATCAAATCATGTGTGTGGGGAAGTACCCTGACTGGTTTGTGTGGGGAAGCACCCTAGCTGGTGTGGGGAAGTACCCTGTCTGGTGTGTGGGGAAGTACCCTAGCTGGTGTGTGGGGAAGTGCCCTGGCTGGTGTGTGGGGAAGTGCCCTGGCTGGTGTGTGTGGGGAAGTACCCTGGCTAGTGTACATAAGAAAATAAAGCAGGAACACTGCATCAGACCTGTTGGCCCATACTAGGCAGGTCCTTCACAAACCATCCCACTAACAATATTTGCCCAACCTAATTTTCAGTGCTTCCCAAGCAATTAACTTTGATAAATCTATTCACTCATGTGCAAGTCCCACTTAAAAAAAATTGTGTGTGTGGGGAAATACCCTGGCTGGTGTGTGTGGAGAAATACCCTATGGCTGGTTTGTGTGGGGAAGTACTCTGGCTGGTGAGTGTGGGGAAGTACCCTGGCTGGTGCATGTGTGGGGAAGTACCCTGGCTGGTGTGTGTGTGGGGAAGCACCCTGGCTGGTGTGTTCTTTCTTGAATTCTATCATGTTTCTCGCTTTCTTTACCAAAGGGCTGGCACTAGGAGCTTTCTTTTGGCCCATGGTGGCTTATTTAGCAGTTGCAAGCACAAAAAACAATGGATTATTACGAAATTTATCGTATGAACACGTGGGTTGATGATCACTCATTGAGAAACAGTGCCACACTGACTCTGAATGGTGTATGTGGGAACCTTTGTGTGGGCACGGCCACTGGGAGGCCGCTCGGACGTGTTCCATACGATCGACGAATGATGAGGCAAATCACAAAATGCGAGGCTATATTTTGACAAAAAAGTTGCCGAAAGTCGAAATTCACGAAGTGCAAGGCTCACGAGACATCCCTAGAAACCCCAACGAAGACCATCGAGAACATCATGACAAATTCCTCGGGGGTCCACTGTACTTCAAATGAAAATCAACAATATAATCCTTTTATACATACAGTTTGGTACATATCTCTGCCCTCTCTTTACTCTTGCTTTTCTTTCCCTTTTAATAACAAACAAAACTGCCAGGTAGATTGTAAATAAAATCCTTGTAATTGCTTATTTGTTGATGAAGCTTTGTTTGTGGTGTCCAATCTTTACTGATTACTGTATCATGTAATTTCTTAAATATTCTAGTGGTTGTAGCATTAATTGCCTCTTCTTTTGTCCTATTCCAATAATCCACCA